TTCTCTTGTTTAATATATCTTTCATAAATTTGGCATAACTCGGCATTTGTTCCAAAGCTTCTGAAAACGAAATATTGATTGTAAACTTCTTAAATATCTCAAAAAAATTTGAAAATTGTTGATCAAGCTTTTGTTGTCCAAGTCTTTGAAGAAAAATGGATGGTGGTCATTATAAATCATTTTAGTTGGAGAGGCAGATCGTTCTTGGTCTTTCGAAATAGTTTCTATAGGTTCTTCAATTTTTCTCTCAACTTCAATCTCTTTTGACTTCCAACTTTTAATTCTTTTCCACTCCTAAATTGAACAAATGTTCTTGTTTTGTTCCTTTAGAATTTACTTCAACATTACTAGAAAGTGTTCCCTGGAGTGTATTGCTAAGTGCGTTAGCAATTTGTCCCAGTTGATTCTCAATATTTCTTATTGCAGCACTTCCCCGGCAACGGCGCCAAAAACTTGACATGACCCGCAATTAAGCAGATATTTAATAATTTTTAATATGTCAAAAACTTGAACCAAATTATATTTAACGACTAGTGAGAACAAATGCAATATCATAAAAATTAAAGAAATGGTTTTCTCACTATGGGTAACATGCAAGTATATGTATCGTTTCAAGTAATATAGAATTTTTTTAAAAAACTTCAGTATCGATCCCACAGGGAAGCCAAAAATAAGAATATAATAAAACGAAATACAGAAATTTTGACTTTAAGAAAACTTTACTTAAGATTACAGCAATTATCTGAAGATGAAAATTAAGTTTACTAAATTCTACAACTTGTAAGTAAAAGTAAATGTAATTACTTAGACAATATATATAATATTGTGACAAATAGAACATAAATATCCTTTACTTCATTCGAATTGTGCAAAGAACATTGATTAATCTAAAGTTGTGCGGCATGTATAGTAGTGTTGGATAGGTTTTAATCTCTCACTCCTAGATTACCCATTGTGCCCTCTCTATAGGACCTACCAGTGACCCTTAGTTCCAATCTCTTGACCATCAATTAATAAAAGAGTCTAGTCTGTCACTCTAAAAACATCAATTTTACGTCCATCAAATCTTATCTCCCTATCTATTAGCACCCTCCTTCAGACGATCACGACTACTTTTTAGAATGTGATATTTATAAGTTAAGAAATCTTAGCCCTTTCGAATCTATAAGTTCCTCAACATGTTTTAACAATACAAGTGGTTAATTTGCAAAGTAAATAAATGACCGGTAAAAATATCATCACAATTTTTAAGAATAAAAGAAGTTTTAAACAAAACCAAAATCACTTACTTAATTACTTCATATTGCAATGAGAAAGAAAGAAAACTACGCACTAAATATGGGGATAACAAAACAAAACATATTTATAAAACTTCAATCCAAAGTACAAAACTTAAAGACAAATATACAAATAATTATTTGGAATGTTCCCCCAAGCACTCCTTTGAAGTTCTCTGACTTCTCTGACTCCAACAGCACTTACAAGACTCACAAACCCCAGAAATAACAAAGACTCACATAGAAAACTTCTCACACACTTAACACACTCACACACTATGAGACTTTATATATCCAACTCTCAGCCATTTGGAATTAATCCATATTTACAAAGCTTCGAAAATGACCAAGGGTTGTTTCAGACATATTCAAAATTCGTTCTTATTCAATGAATCTTCTAAAAAATAACCGTTGCGCCAAACCGTCATGCCTAGGCGTCAGCCAATTTATACACCTGGTGTCAGTTCGGCTGGTTTGGTACTTTTCTTCAATTTAACCCATTTTGCTCCTTTTTATGTATTTTTTCTCATTTTTTATGTATTTTTTCTCCTTTTTACACTTACAACTATTTTTTTTGCACCTGCAACCAAAAATATAAAAATATCCTTCATTAAAGCATTATATCCTAAAAAATTGAGCATAAAATGTAAATAAAAAATATGTAATTTTAAGGTGGACCTAGAAAATATTAACAAATAGATGTCTAAGAGCTCACTATGGAGGATATCAGCAAAAAATCATCTAAATGCAACAGAAGCTTGTCGTTTTTGAGAGAAGACAATCTAATTTGATCACGCGTAGCCACAACAGTGACTCGTCAGATTGAGTAGAGGATGTGAATACCTTCCACCAAGCAATTTTCAGTGATGAAGAACCAATACCCTCATAATTTCGCATAGAAGATCAGAGGCTAAGCCAGGATCTTGGAGTAAAGATGTATATACCAGATTTTGATGCTCGCATAGATCCAGATAAATTCATCGAGTGACTCCAGATGGTGGAACTTGTTTTTGGGCATTCCATCTGAAATAAGGGCAAAGCTAGCAGCCATCAAGCTTTGTGGTGAAAAAAATTTGAAGTGTCTACCATACCATAAGAGAGAAAGCAAAAAATCAATGCCTGATCCAAGATAAAAATGGAGATGCAGCGGAAGTACTTACCTGCAAATTATAGGCAGGATATATTTTTAAGACTTCAACACTTACAACAATAAGAACTCAGTAAATGAATACACAGCTAAGTTCGAGCAGCTTAAGTTGAAATGTAAAATAGTGGAACCAAGGCAAAACATCATAGCTTGATATTTAGAGAGATTGAGACTGTCCATTGGCAACATGGTAGAATTATAACCATATTGGTCTTTACTCGATGTGCTAGCTTTGAAACTGATAATAAAGTTACGTCCCCAGTTGATCGCTACATCTTAAAAACAGAGTTCAACCGCAGGATCAGGTAGCAATAGTACACCTAGTGGAGCACTCAAGCAAGCTCCCGCTAGAAGAGAAACCCATGAAAAGTGAAGAAAATGTGGAGACCGCCAACATTCTTAGATCTATTAAAACAAAGAGGAGCTTCAAGTGTTACGATTTTAGGCACCATGCAATAAATTGGCCAAACAGTAGAATGATCTCATTCACAGAGCAAGGAGTAGTTGCAGAGGTGGATAGTGACATGGGACTGCATGAAGATGTTAAAGATAAGTAATATCTTACAGCCCAAAAGGGAGATATGTTAATTATTCAAGTTGAACCCATGAAAGAGACTCCAACAAGATTAGCATTGGTTTTCCTAGAAGGTAGTGAGTCAAAGATAATAGGCGTTCATACAGAATTTGGGGTTGTGGCACCGCGAACTACCCTTTTATAGGCATTAAGTGAAGCATCAACAGAATTGGGCATTGTTTGTCCAAAAGGGCCATAAATTCAAGGAGTCGATACCAAACATAGGGCAACCACATATAAAAGAATTTTAGAATTTTTAGGCATACACTCTACCTCATAAGTTTTCTATGCTAAGAGAGATCCATCATGTTAGAGATGAGAAAATTGTCACCTATTTTCGGAAAGCTATGTGGAGTAATTTAGGTATTAACTATCAGTTCAATTCAAATAATACAAAAACAAACAAATGATCAAACAAGAGTGTGGACCTGGGCTTCAGATATCTCTTTAGGTGATTTGGGAAAAAGAATATCTAACAATGGGACCCAAGTGATCCCAAAAAAGAAGAGGTCATTCCTAGGCAGAGAGAATAATGTAGGAGCTCTCGTGCCCGCAAAATAGCAAGAGCAGAATTCTCGCAATATGTGAAATCCCTCATCGCAGAATCGATGATCCCAATTGCGAGAATTTCATGATACCGTGAAATCAATAGTTTTCACAATCAGAGGAAGATCGAACAGAAACTCCAAAATTAAGCATGCTCTTACAGAAACTCCCATGAGATATGGAAGACCTCCTGAGGAGTTATGCCAATGGTACAAAATGGTGAGGTTATTCGGCCAAAATGGACAATATCTCGATGGATGGGAGTTGATATCACAAAATTACACCAGCCTAAAGCTAGGAAGTGTCATACAAAATAAAGTAATACACCATGAAAGCCACATCTTAAACCTTAGATGAGACGAAGTGTTATATGGTGGGAGCTATCCCATGAATTTATAAAAGTCACCTCTCAAATCCTATCTGGCTCAGATGATTCTAGTTAACAAAATTGATTAGAACATCTCTGGGAGATAGTGAAACGTAGTTAAGTAGAATAAAGTTCAACTCTCTAGCATCGAGACACCTTTTGATGTCATGGTTGGAGCTTCAGTTAAAACTCCAAAGTTATACGAGAGCGCTCCTGAGACAGTGACCTCCTAGGAAGTTACACAAAAGGGGAAAAATTATAAATCGTTAGGCTGAAGTGGATAATATCTCAATGGATGGGAGTTCGGGTTGTTACAATATCAGCAGTTTGGGTTGTTCGATATGTGAGCCTTTCAATAGCTTATTCAGAGGGTTCCAAGCTAGTTTCTAATATAAAGAAGGATATGCATGCCCAATTACAATTCATAATGCATCTGATCTAAACCATAGTTGATATTTCAGGAAATCTATCAACTGGTCTCAGATAATGCAAATCTACAAGCCAATAAGAGAGCCTGGGTAATGCCTGAAATAAATTGCAGAAAAGGTTGATAGGAGTATATTAATTCATAGTGCTTTTGGTCGAGAACAGAATGTTTTTTTTATAAAAGCAATCTCGCATGTCATAAAAAACTGTTTCAAAAATTTTGAAATTTTCCAAAAATGCATACAAAAGAATCCTGCTAATATATCGTAGACAGTTCTGAATACAGAAACAAGTCTTTGAGCAGATTATCACTAAACGTTTTAGTTACTGAACTCAACAACTGTATGAAAGTACCAATTCCATACAATATCACACATTAATGACAAAAATAATAGTAGGCTGTCATATTTAAGTGAGATCCCTTAGCAAAAACACCAAGCTGTTTAATAAAAACATTCAAACATCAAAAATTAGAGAGTGTAAATAGAGTTTACTTCTGATTAAAGCAAGCTTAAGTAACAATGTGATCTCTACTTCTTTCATATTAATGTCTTCAAAAAGACAAAAATCATATCAAAAGCACAGAAGCAACGGTTAATATAAGTCACAGATAAAAAGCATTCAATGTCAGGTTTCCAACGGAATATCATGTTGAAGTGGTACCTCGCCAGTAGATGCCATAAATGTCAACAAACATGATATTGATCCCTTGTGACCACCCGTATACCTTCGAACAAGCTGTAATAAACAACTCCTTCATTACCATCAAATAATCCGCGGAATTAATAGTTCTTCACATATGAAATTATTCAAAAAGAAAAGTTGTATTAACCTTCCATGTAATCATTGAAAGAACTCTTATTACACCATCAGATGAACCAAAGGCAACAAGAGGGGTATCACCTGCAGCAGATCTAGAAAGAAATTCCATGCTGCAATGACAGGAATTTTTCAGAGATACTATTTGAAACACCATGCAAAAGGAAACTGATGAGCTTACAAGCAATATGGGTCATTTGGCTTCTCTTAGAAAGTAAACATGCTTTAGAAAGTAATAACTTAATTTCCTCTGGTTTTGTGAAACTGATAAGCTTACTAGCAATACGGACCATTTCGCTGCTAGTGGAAAGAAAACATGCCTTAAAAAGTAATAATTCAACTTTCATGGTTTTGTGGATGAAAGTGGCATCCTGTGATCTGAAGGATTTTGAAAGTTTTGGCATTATTTGAAACCAAAACTAAATGATGGAATAAAGGGAATTCACTAATTTTTTATAGCATGTTATTGAACTTCACAACTAAATGGACCCTACAATAAAACAACAAGCCTTCATCCCACTAAATAGGGTCGGCTACATGAATCCTTTTTCTCCATTGTGTTGTCATATTTTCATTTAAATGACCCTACAATGTAGAAAAAAAAAAGCCTTACAATTAAATATGGAAATAGTATGATGCTTAGGTCAACACAAACTGCAATAGGCATATCACTTTCTGCTATGAACCTAATGAACACCACTTTCTCTTAAGGTTGCATATAACAATCAAAAAGTACGATATGCCATTCGATGTTCATCTCAAAACTTTAAAAACATCCTTTTCAAGCCTTCATTTGATAATGTCCTTACAACACATAAATTCCACAAGCCAGTTTAGATTTATATATCTGGAAGACCATCGGTTTCTTCTCAATGCAAATTAAGCAATTTTTCAACAAATTCGATGAGCACTAAAATCAGCAGTGAAGATGACAAGTAATTTTTAATGTTTAAATCAATTTTCGGATAAAAATTAAAACTTATTTAAAAAACAAGTTCACTCTTCCTGAACTCACTAATCATAACTATCACACATGGAAGATTCAAGATCATATAGTAATGTCTTAACTAGTCAACTCAATGACTACAAAAGTAAGAGAGCTTCCTCTACAAATCAGCCAAAAAAACCTGGGAGGACGCAAGAGAAACTTATTTCAAAACTGAGAATATTGTAAATTTGTTTGAGATTGAAACAAACTACTCGATCTTCATCAAGGAGAGCAAAGCGTCACCCAATATTTCAACACCCGGACAAATTATTGTCTTCAACTGGATATGTTCGAGATATCTGCGAAAATATTCGCATTATGTCGTGATGTATAAATTTATCATTGAGAAGAAAAGAACTATAAAATTCCTAGTGAGACTAACCAAAGAATTGGATGAAGTGAGGAGGAAATGGAAATAAAGACTCTTTTATCTACCCGTGGAGCTTTTACTGAAGTTAGAAGAGTAAAAAGAAGCTTATGATGACTGGAGATGGGAATTCACAATATGTTGAAAATTAAGCTCTGTACTATCATAATTCTTCTCATGACTCAACGTTCAAAAAAAATCGTCCCACATGCGACTACCACAAGAAAAGTGGGCACCTCAAAGACAATGTTGGAAAATCCATGAGAAACTGACGAATTGGAAAAATGGACAAAGAAATAAAGATCAAGAGAGCAAAGCTAATGCTGCTACCACATCAGAAGCATCGCAGACCCATTCACCAAGGAACAACGTGAAGTACTAAAAAAATTTCTTGAGAGCAATTCAGAACAGCACACTTGTTTCGTGACACACCAATGTAATATACCATTCTCTCATCTTGCCAGCAATGAGAGATTTAGGTCGTGGATCATAATTCAAGGGCTTCTGATATTATGACTCTAATCAACTATTTAGAGACTCGAGCTACCAAACTTGCAGATGGATTCCACTCAAGAATTGCTAGAAAAAATAGATATAAAGCTCTCTTATGATATTACTCTTTCCTCTATTTTATATGTTCTACAATTGGACTGTAACTTAATTTCAATCAGTAAGCTTACGCATGATATGAAATGCACAAGTAAATTTCTTACAAACTCATTGTGAATTTCAGATGATAGATTCAAGGAAGGCGATTGGGAATGCTTCAATGCATCAAGGTGTATATCTTCTTAAGAAAAATCTCTCTCTAAGCATGTATGGTATTATCGTCTGAATCCTAATTTCAATTATGTTACAAAATTTGTATATCGTCATCTTTTTATCAATAAAAAAATCAAGCATTTATCAATGTGAGACTTCTCAACTTACCAAACACACTAGAGATGTTTATCATATTACCCAGTACAAACTTTCGCATCCTTTTTCTATTATCCATAGTGACATTTGAGGACCTTTAATAGTAAGAACCATAAGTGGGGCTTGATAGTTTGTTGAATTCATTGATACCTCACATGGGTATTCATAATCACATTGGTATTCATAATCACATTGGTATTCATTATGAACGAGAAATCTGAAATAACCTAAATCTTCCAAAATTTCCATAACATAGTTCAAATTCAATTCCAATCTAGAATTGTGACCCTCGAAACTTATGTAGCAAACAAATATTTCAATTTTATCCTTAGATCCTACCTTTCAAAAAATGGAATCATCCATACGAGTTCATGTATTAATACCTCACATCAAAATGGGATTGTTGAGAGAAACAATAGACATCTTTTTGAGGAGTCCCGCTCAAATATGATTTCTTATTAAGTTTCAAAATATTTTTAGAGGAAAGCAGTACCTAGTGCAACTTACCTTATAATTGAATGTCTAATCGAGCAATCAATTTCAAAACACTACTTCATGTATATGGATATCTATCCCCGCATCAGAGATCTCTTCTGCTGTACCACTTAAAAAAAGTTGTATCTTTTTGTTCACATTCATTCTCCAAACCACACAAAACCTGACATTAAATTCATCATGTTCATTAGGTATGTTTCTAACAAAAAAGACTATAAGTAATAGTGTAAGACTTGTCTATTACCAAAAAAGACTACTAACTTCATGGATGTCACCTTTTTTGAAAATTAACACTACTATCCTAAACATGATGTTCAAGTGGAGAGTACAAATAAACATCAAATTTGTGATGCAATTAATAATACACTGCCTCATAACCTACCCTTCTTTCTACCTAACAATTCTATCTCCCAAACACCACTGCATGAAAATATCGCACATGGGAATGTCCAATTAACACAACTTAAAATTCATAATAAAGAACTTCGTGTGTATACAATGAGAAAGAAAAATCTTGAGCAATTGGAAGACAAAATGCAAAGACATAAATGCTCAAGCCTAAAACTGAGTCCACACTCACCTGAAATTTCGAAAGAGGAATCTATAACTCATGAGTTATCACCTTCCTCTTCTAGTGTTGATTACAAAAAAGATTGTACTAAATATCTAATTCAGAAGTATATAGCTTATGAGAAGTTGTCCTCACACTATAAGGCTTTTGTATCTAATCGTGAAAATGTGTAAATTCTTAAATCCATTCATGAAACTCTTAAAATTCAAAATGGAGGAAAACAGTTCAAGCCAAAAACTAAGTCCACATTCACAAAAAAATTTTGTGTGAGGAATCTATAATTCATAGGTTATCACCTTCCTCTTATAGCATTGATGACAAGGTAAATATCCAATTCCAGAATATGTAGCTTATGGGAAGTTATCCTCACATTATAAAGCTTTTGTATATAACTTTGATAGTGTGTAGATTCCTAAATTCATTCATAAAACACTTGAAAATTTTGGAATGGAGGAAAACAGTTGATGAGAAGATTTAAACACAAAAAACATAATGGCACATGGACTCTTACTAAGCTTCCTCGGGATAAGAAGCCAGTTGGATGCAAATGACTATTCAACATCAATTACAAAGCTGGTAGTGGTATTGAGAGATTCAAAGTGAGACTGGTTGCAAAATGTTTAACTCAAACTTATGGAATTGATTATAAGGAGACGTTTGAATTGGTTTCCAAAATGAACGCTATCAGAGTTCTCCTATCAGTAGCAGTTAACAATAAGTAGGGTCTACATTAACTTGACATAAAAAATATCTTAATGGAGATCTTGAGGAAGTGTACAAAGAGATACCACCAGATCTTGAGAATGATTCAAACAAACACCTAGTATACAATCTCAAAAAAATCACTATGAAGTCTTAAGCAGCCACCAAGAGCACGTATTGAAAGATTTATTAAAACTATGAGATCTAATAGATACTCTCAAGATCAAGTTGAACATACACTATTAATCAAAGACACTCAGAAATGTAAAATGGTTGAACTAATAGTATACATGAAAGATATGATTCTTACTGGTGATCATGAAAAGAACATTCTTAAAATCAAATAAATATTTGTCATTGAGTTAGAAATCATTGAACTAGAAACCATGAATGGAAATAGCAAAAAGGTCTAAAAAGAGTATTGTTATATCACAAAGAAAATACATCCTAGATTCACTAAAGGAAACGGGGATGATTAGATACAACCCTGTAGATATTCCAATGGATCCCAACAAAAAAGTCTAATAAGGAAGAAGAAAGTATATATGTGAAAAAGAAAGATATCAAAGATTCATAAGAAATCCCATCTACATATCATATACTATATCAAATATTTCATACTCTGTTAGTATTGTGAGCCAATATATAAATAACCCAAATGAAGAGCAGTTAGAGATAGTGCACAGGATCCTGAGATTTCTTAATAAGAATCCTGGTTATTGATTATTGCTTGAGATAACCAGAAACAATGAGGTAAAACTCTACACTAATGCAAGTTTGGTTAAGAAACTCATTGATAGAAGGTCAACCATAGATTATCATCCAATGTATGAGGAAATCTAGCCACATAGAGAAGTAAGAAATAAATTATTGTCTCTAGAGGCAATGCAGAATCAAAGTATGGGGAACTTGCCTTAGAAAGCTATAAAGGGTTTTAGATTCAAAAATTATTGAGGGAACTGGGATGTAACTCTGGTAGGCCTGTACAAAAGTTGTGGCAGTTAAGCAACTATCTGTATTGCCAAGGACCATTTTCATCATGACAAAACCAAACATATTGAAATTGATAAAAAAAAATTATCAATGAAAAGTTAACTATGAAATTATACAACAAAGTTACATCCCGACACACCAACAAGTTGATGTCTTGACTGAAGCTTTTCTATTAAGCCATTCTCAAGTTTAATACCAAGTTTGGTCTCTACAACATCTACGATCCACCTTGAGGGAGTGGAAATATAGGAGGATTGGTCTCCCTACTAATTGGAGACAGTTTGAAAAACTCCTTGATTAGTTTTATTCTCTTTCTATTTATGTTTATTTCATAATTATTTCACTTCAATATTCTAGCTAGATATATTTGGTAAGATATCAAATTTTGAAGGATCAGTTTACCTATATATGTAACGTTAGGGTTGAAGATTGAATAATAAGAATTTTGAGAATTCCCCTCAAGTTTTTCTTCAGCTTATAATTTTAAAATCTGGCAAACTATTAATAAGGCAGGTCACATGCTAACTATGTAATCCAACCAAACCTAGACATCCACATCTAATGCATGAAAACAAAAACATGCATTCGCAAAAAGGCTAATTCCATGAATCAAGCTTAGGGCCTTCAAATTATACTAGAAGCAACTTAATAACTGCTCCAAGCCCATCCTTTACCCTAAAAAGCATCACAAGTCCCATTCTTGCAAGGAAACATGGAGCATTAAGCTATCATTTTTTTTATTCAATCAATGGCCTATGCATAACTTACCCAATTTTCCTTTCCTCTATCTGAAGAAAGTAGTTTCCTCTCTATTGAGAAAGCTAAAACATAATCTCTGCCTTCAACAAGCCAGTACTAATCTACAACAAACTCACCTTCAAAACCATCTGTCTTCTTCCATAAATCAATCTCCATTATGAAACATAAAAAGGCTATTGCAAATTGCCCGGGGCAAACCATAATTCCACTTCAATAAAAACCAAATTTTACATTTTAAGCCTATTTGCTTTACAATATGAAGTTGAACAGGCAATTAAATCTCGTCTAAGTATGTTTTGGACAAAACTTTTGTCCCCTTGGCCTTGAAGCACTACATCTATATGTAAAGCCAACCTATATATGAGGTGCCACAAGATAAAAATTATATTAATGCGCCAAGTTTAAATCTTCAGGCCAAAAAAATCAATTATATAAACCATGCAATACCTTCTGATAGAATGAAAAACCAACAAAAGTCTAACTATGATTTCTTTTGTATATCAACGAAATATATAGTTATTACAGCGTGACAAAGCTTGCAACTTTCACTTTAAAACAACAAATATTCCATGATATGTTGCTTCAAAATTATTTACACACTATGAGGAATGCAAATATGTATCCATTCAGATCAATCCATGACAAGAGAAAAGGAAATACCAAAGAAGAGATTTGTTGTCGAGTTCTTGCTTTGGAACATCCCGCCCACGCATAGTCACCAAATCCAAAAATATAGCTTTATTTTCACAGCATATGACAAGAAAATGCCTCCCTCGAGTGCTTGGAGTAGGAGAATTAAAAGTTGGAGAGTTTTGACTCATTGCAGATGGACCCTCAGCAGCAGCAGATCGATTTCGCCAATGTTGCCAAAATCGCACATCATCATCATAAAAGCTCACCTGCTTTACACTGAAATACCAAAAACAGCCAACGTTGATGCACAAATTTAAGGATATAACAAGAATGCTAACTTAATAGATACAGGTGATGTGGCAAAACAAAAACAATACCTCCCTCCCCGAATAGCTTCTGTGGGTTTTCCTCTAGGCTCTTCATGCAATAAACACAACAAGAAATAACATCAACTTAAGAGAAGCACGAATAGAAACAAACCATGAGAAAAGTCAAGGAACAAGATTAAATCTAACAAACACTAAAATTTCTAAACAATATTTGTGATGCTTCATCAAGTGTTGGACCAAGGAGAATTGGAGCTAGCTCTTGTCCCCTTAGATTTGAGAAAACTCTATTTAGCTAAATCATAGCATGAAAGTGTTATGCTTAACTTCTATTATAACTTTGAGCTAATCCTTTCACCGTCTCTCGCTTGAAAATATAGCTCCGCCACTAGCTTCATGCAAGAGCTAAAACCATCATAAATATGTATCTTAAAACTCACATGCATACATAATACAAGCCCTACTTGTAAAAGGATGCATTATGCACACCTGATTGACTGGAACATGGACAAACAACCACATAGAAGTATTTAAACATACCAAAGTTGGATATCATATGCAAAAGCCATGCAGGCACTAAGACTTTTTTAACACATTTGTGCCACCCAAAGTCTATAAGTACATCATACATGCAATAGACAGATTTCACGACTACCCAGACTAACTCACTTCATGCATTTGATAATTGGAGTATATGCCGTTCTTCACAAGAAAAGAAATCAATTCATAACGTTCTGCGGATGCTTTCTTCTATTAAAATAATTAATCAGAACAATGATCTACGAACAACCAGAATTGAGCTCAAGTCTTCATGAAAAAGTAATGCATAAAAGCCAAGCATGCAATCTTCAACAATCCGTTTCATAAGAAATAAAATAATCTGCGTAAATAATACCAACTAAACTACCAAAGCTTGCAGCGACATACCGGAGTCTCCCTCAGCGAGCTTCTCAAGCTTCACCCCAACCAAACGCCTTTCATCCACCCCACCAGCTTTCAGCTCATAAATCACCTGGGTATACAGGCAGTAAGGACAAGGAACCGTATCGACAAAAGGAAACATAAAATAGTCTCGCGGAAACATCGAAAAATGGCCGGAGATTCAGACCTGTCTATGCTCCCAATTCCAGACTGAAACGTGATCAGAGTCATCCGCAGTGACGAGCCAAGGATGCGTAGGGTGGAGCTGAATCTTAACGATCTTGTCGCCGGATGGACGGAATGCCCTCAATCGGAGCATCACGACGCGCTCGTCCTCCAATCAATCGGGATATCGAAACCAACGAACTATGGAGTTTCGAATTTCCCAGATCTCTTAAAGTAGGTCTACAAGATTCCAAAAAAAAAAAAAACACGACAGCGCGAATCGCTTTCTGGATGTGAAAATCACCGGTGAGGGAGGTTTAGAACACGGGCAGCTAATGAGAGTTTTGAGGATCGTTTTCCGGCGGCCTGGACACGACCAGAGAAATGTTGGGTCCGACTCAGAAGTGGCAAACCCAATCTTCGGAATTCGTACAGTTCGATGTGGGACTCTTATTTCAGAACCACACTCGGTTATTTTGCAGGAATTATTGTCATGCGGTGTCCGATCCTGATCGTAGATCACGGTGATCTACGGTCAGGATTATTTCCATTTTTTTTAAAAAAAATTTCGGTGGGACCCACCGAAATACATCGGAACCGTAGATCGGTTGATCTACGGTCTGGATCGGTCACTTGCGTGAGGTGACTGATCCGTATGGAATAATTTTTCGTTATTTAGATTACAGATGACGGTATTATGGTGGTAAGGTGAGAAATAAGAGTTTTTATCCGGATTCTCATAACATTATTTGATTCATTCTTAATAAAATTTAAAAAAATTCACTTTTACGCCTCAACCGGAAGAACAAAACTTTCGCCTCAACTCGGGAAAAAATTTGCGTACGATAGACATCGCTGCGTACGATTTCAAGGTTATACCGAATGTATAAAAGGGTTATACCTGTGTTATAACCTCTTGTAACCTCCATGTAACCTAGTGTAACCTACTTGTAACCTAAAAATAAGTTTCGCGCTTCTGTTATCATATATTAAGAACTTATTAGTAGGTTACAGGTAAGTTACAGAAGGTTATATGAAGGTTACAAGGGATTATACCGCGGATATAACCCCCTTATACCCTTGGTATAACCTCGAAATCGTACGCAGCACTACGTACGTCTATCGTACGCAAATTTTGATTATCAAAATCGCTGCGTCCAAAATGAAAAAGAGTTGTGTGTCTCTTCATCCTCCAATTTCGTTGTTTGTCATTGTTGCATGTCGTGAGCTTGGGTTTGCATTGCGTCTAATCTGAGTCCCTCTTTACTCCCATGTAAGACTTTTGATCTTAAAGTTTAGTGTGGTAGAAGCATTGTGTGATGGGTTAGGGTTTATGGTGCTAACTTATGTAGTTCCTTTTACTTTTGAAGTAAGGTAACGATAAAAAAGAATACTGCAAGCAAAGAGGCTAAGAAAATGGAGTTGGGAGATCAATCCTAGGAAGATGGAAACTGAAATATCGGAGAAGATGGTAATGAAAGAGCGTAAGAAGGACGTTGAAGTGGCTAAGGGCCAGCAAAAGTCATCCATGTAATTTTGTTTGTATTTGTTCCTGCATTCAATAACACCATGGTTTCAGCTAAATAATATCCAATGTAACACCACAATAACACTATGATAATACAAAAAATAATACTAAAATAACTCCATATCAATCTGGTTTGCATTGTGTCCAATCTGAGTCCCTCCTGATGCAGTATTATTGCATTGTTATTCTGGTGTTATTCTTGTATTATTTTGGTGTTATGGTGTTGTTTTAGTTGTGTGATTATGGTATTGTTATGTTGTTATTCTGGTATTATTCTGGTGTTATTCTAGTATTATCCTGGTGTTATTATTATGATATTATTGTGTTATTCTGGCGTATTGTTGTTGGTATTTTGTTAGTGTTGTTATAATGATAATTTGTTGTTGTATTCATGTAGATTTATGAACACAAGGAATTGTACATGTTGTGCATCAGGAGTAAGAGATGTTCATGATAAGGTTCAACCTACCATATTTGAGGAGACCTGAAATAAATTGAAAGCAATGAATTTAGATCAATTTTTTTATCTCCCTTCATATCCTTAAGACAATATCCTGGCACTGCAAATATTAAAATGTTGGGATTACGATAGAATGGTATTCAAAATGGGCAGGAAAGATTTCAGATTTGATCCTATTGACAAGCATGCCCAACAGTGGATCAGCAGTAAATTGAAATAAAATTCTCGCTTGTGGTGTAAATGCCAGATAAATAAAGAGTAATCTAATGAAAATTTCAACTGAGGAGTGTTCTATTCCCTTTGATGAACTATTTCTTAAGTTTTTGTCATCAATTTTTTTTTCCTTCTATCAATTTTAGTGTGCTCAAAGGGTTCTATGCATTTGGCGAGATTGTAGAATCATTCTCTTCATTTAATTAGCCTGCGACGGTATGTGACTTCTTCACTAAGCAATTGAATGTCGTCGCCTATAAACTAAAGCAGGATCAGCCATTGGGATATATAAATGTTTTTTTTTTCTTTTAATAGTTATTATCTTTTATATACCTTTTAAGAGTTTCTCTTCTTTTTTGTCATAACATATCATGATTTATCTTTTAGACAACTCTTGTTGTATGAGCACAAATCTTTGATCATTCCTACTACTCATGAGGCATGAAATCGCAAGTTGAGGTGGCCAACAACTGTGAGCTGGAAGACAACACAAATTCATCAAGCCTTTAAGAGGCTTAGCCTCGTACATGTAAGTCATTTATCTCATTAGATAACCTTCTCTTTTTGAAAAATAATAGTTGTAATATTCAAGTTGAATTTGTTATTAGAGTTGTATTATTTCTTGTAATATTTTTTTTTACATTTAAGTTCTTTATCTCATCATTCCTATATTGTGTTATTGTGGTGTTCTTTTGTTGTTTTTCTAGTGATAGTGTATTGTTATGTAAGTATTATTATGTTAATATTTTGATATTATTGTTGTGTTATTTAGTTTTTTTTTCTAAAAGAGTTATATTTTTTATGTTTTATTGAAATGTTATTTAAATGTTATTTTAGAGTTATTCTTGTGTTTCTGTGGTGTTGTTGTGGTATTTTTTCTGTTTTATTAAGGTGTTATTAGTGTCATACTCTTGTGTTACTGTCGTGTTATTTAGGTTTATATCGGGTGTTATGTAGGTGTTATCATTTTTTTATTTGAGTATTATTGTGGTGTTATTTATGTCTTTTTTTGAAATTCATTATAGGTTTTTGTTTTTTTTTTTTTTTGAATTTGAAAGATGACGAACATCAATTGCTCGCCTCTCCACTTGAAGGACCATATAATCCAGTCAAGCTCATCCCACACCATGAAACTCACTCCACATCACAGTCACCCGATTCATATGAGGTTGATCCCCTAGTTTCCAGTGAAAGCAAGCCTCAACCAACATCTACAGACCCTAATAAAGGAATGGAAGAAATAATACAAATACTTAGAAAACAAGAAAATTTTCTTTTAAAACTTTAGGAATCAATGAAAACCTATTTTTGTAATTTACAGAACATAGTGACAGTTTGTTTTTTAATTTAGAGAACACGGTGAGAGTCCTTAAGACTAAGGTTACTAAATTAAAAAAAGAAATAAGTATACTAGAGGGGAAATCCACAAAAAAAGGGATAGTAGAATCCTCACTTGACAGTTTAACACAAAGGTTTAAGACCAGAGAAAATATGGGTAAGAGGAAATTAAATTCCTCATATACTGCATTTGAGCTGAAGAGAAAAAAAAATATTAAAGGAAGTGGAGCACATCCTAAATGTTCATTATAGAATTTACTTGCACAAATTGAACAATCATAGGAGACAATAAAATCACATGTACATATAGAATCAGGACAAACAATAAGGGATGAAATTGTTCTACCACAACCAATAATAACAGAAGTTTTGGATACTTCTGACATTATTTGTGACCCACCAACTGTACATATTGAGAAACCAAATCAACATCAAGTAGCATCAGCTAAAGATACTTTGGCCACTGGGGATGACCAATTACATGTACAAACAAATAAAGTTGAGGAACAATTAATAACAAAGGATGAAGATACTGATACAGTAGATCAGATAATAAATGATGCAAGTACATCTTTAAAAAAAGAGGAAGATGAGCATTACACAACCCGAGAACTAGTACCTATAGATGATGACTACCCTCTAAAGGTTTTGATTATAAAAGTATTTGATTATGTCTCATAACTTTTATGTTGTCATTATACATGAAGATTACTTTGTTTTATAGGTTCGTTCAGCACCCTTCGTTGTCAATTTTCAAATTAAAGAACAAATTTCAATTTACATGCAGGAAGTAATCGATCTATGTTGTACCAAATACACTTCTAAGTAAGTAAATTTTCTTTTTTTTTTGTTTTGCATTAATGTTATATTTAAATATATAAAAATTATTTATTTCAAATGCAAGGATGGTATTCTACTTGATAAAAAACATATTGTAATAAGTCAATTAAACCTTGATGAAATATTGAATAATGAATGGTTTTCAAATGAGCATGTAGATTGTTTTGCAATGATACTAGAAAATAAGAGGAATAAATTACCAAAATTGTATAGATCATACTTCTATGTACCTCCACTGCATTGGGTAAATATTCAATTTCAAGTAAATGGCAGTAAACTTAGCCACTTCCACCATGATAACAATATTTCACTGATATTGACTTTTTATGCAGTCATACAGAGATAAAAATATTACAGTGTTTGTTGACCACATTAGGAAGGAACAACAAAAAAATGTACAAATGGTTTTCATTCCTATAATTGATAAATAACATTGGTCACTACTAGTTAGGGAAGTGAATGATCGAAAATAGATATTATATGACTTCTTACCCAATAAAATACATTTGACGATCACCCGTCGCATTGTAATCTCACTCAACACAAGCTCATTCATTCTTCAATCAATTTTGGCATTGTCTTTGTTGTTAACAATTTAATTCAAATTTAAATTTGCAAATTAAACATTTTATGAAGGATGTCAGGAGAGCTTTCGAGAGTGATCTGACCAAATGGTAATCGTCATTGCCAAAGGCATTCCAGTGCAACACAATGGCTTTGACATCGATGTGTTCATTTGTAAATATATGGAAACATTAATACAAGTAGATAGAGGTGATTGGAGTGATAAATTATACTAGCATACGGAAATGCCAAAATTTTGAGCAGAAATAGCCTTTGATGTATGTTTGTATGTGATGGGTAAAACATAGATGAGACTTCATTAGATTTCCTCAAATGGTATCAATGATTTTTAAGAATTTAACTGCTTTAAGTGTTGTGGTTTATTGGTCGACTTCAATAACTCCATGATAACTCTATAATACAACTTAAAGCATGACAAATGCTTCAATACAACACCAATAATCAGCAATAAAACTCTAATAACACCAATGAAAACACACT